GCTCCAGGAGAGAGAGAGAGAGAGAGAGAGAGAGAGAGAGAGAGAGAGAGAGAGAGAGAGAGAGATTTGGCCTGAAACACCTCCAAAATGCCAGTTTAGGATCTGAACAGCTTCTCTAAAACAAAAATCATTACCAACAGGATCTCAAGCCAAAATAATAAGCTCCACGTTTAAATTAAACTCATGAATTAACAATGACGTTCTGTCCCCTGCTTTTGTTTCGAGCAATAGATTGAGCTGAGCTATACAAGGCCAAATGAAGCTGTTGTTAATATCACAAAATATTTATCGCATGTGATGAAAGATGCATCACCTGACTCCACGTACACCAGACTAAAAAGCAACTTCAAATTCTAGCTGCACAAATCACTGAAGGAGCGGTTCTTATCATAAATCACATAAAGAGTTGGAATCACTGCTGAATCAGCGTTTAATTCAAGCAAACTTTATGGTTTCGATATCCTTCTGTTGTAGTATTGCTACATTCATTTGTATTATTCTTTTGTTTCATCTTAAGTTCAACAGCTTTAAAGTTTTATTACAAGAAATAATTTGCACAAAGCTATTTGTAATTAATTATTCAAGTTAAAAATGTGGCCGAGTCATTTTAAAAGAACTTGATGATTAAAACTAATACTGAACTCCCAAATGTGTGATTCTTTTCTGCTTTATTATGCAGAAATGAATTGTATACTGAATTGTGGAGAAAAAGTTTTCAAATTAATAATATTTTCAAACTTTTTTTAAATACAAAAGGATGCCCACAAGTCCTTTTTTGAAGAAGCTGCAGAAAAGGCCAAAACTGATGCTAAGTGAAGCTTGTGTTTCTTAAGCTGTCCTTCAGTTGTGCTGCTATAAGCTTAGACTACTGAACTGATCCAAGCTGATTGAGGTAGGTAGCTGATGCTGAGCTTGGTTCTGCTGGAAGTTTCTTCTTGCTAAAAAAAAAGTAATTCCTTCCCACAGTCACTAATGTGCATCTCAGGAAGATGGATTGTGACAAAGTGATGATTAAATGCAATTCGCTGGTTTTCTTAGATAAATAACTACTGTAATTGGCGTTTCACAATGTAATGTATGTTAATGTTTTTGTAGTGTCCTAAGATAACTTTTGTACCAAAAACATTGGAATGTCATTTAGGCTGGATAAGTGTGGATCAAGTGATATGCAAGAGAGGCAAAGTGATCACAACTGAAGAGATCAAACCTGAAGGCTACTTTGTAGATGTCCAAGAGAGCTAAAAGATACCTTGAGATCCTACAGGCAAACCATGAAGTCAGCCACAAAAAAGTACTGACAGAGAGGACTGTAGGTCCTGAAAAGCCGACTGACTGACAAGAATACAGTCCAAGCCATTAACACGCATGCAATGCCAATCATCTGATACCCAGATGGTATAACAAACTGTCTAAAGGGGGAGATAGAAGTCACCTCACAATACATAGAGGGTTTCACCACAAGTCTAGCATCCTGACATTGTGGAGACAGGAGGAAGGCAGAGAACTCGTGAATATCAGAAACACCATGCAGGATGAAGCTACTAAGATCCTGGAGTACCTCAGGGGGAAAGCTTGTGATGATGAAGTGATGAGTGAATGTCTCAGCCCAATGTGGAAGAGGTGTAACAAAAGGAACCGTGATGTAAAGATAAACCTCTACATGTGCTACCAGCTGTTTGAGAAAGTGGCTGATATAAACAAATCTTACCAGTGGCCAGAGAAGGCTGGACTGAAGGTCAGCACAGAGGCAATAATGGCAGCACAAGAGCAATAAAGACCAAGGTCTACCATACAAGACATGACACAAGGTGCAGGCTGTGCAAAGATGGCCTCAAGTCAGTCCAGCAAATCAAATCAGGATGCAAGGTGATGGCAGACTAAGCATACACGGAGCACTATAACCAAGTGGCTGGAACAAAATACAAGAACATCTGCGCCAAGTATGAACTGGAGTTCCCACAATCAAAGTGAGAAACACTCGCAAGGGTAGTGGAGAATGACAGGGCTAAGGTACGGTGGCACTTCCAGATCCAGATTGACAAACAGGCATGTCTACAACTTTGTGGGAAAAGGAAGTGCTGGTGACAAATGTAGCAATCTGAAGTGACTGTGACATCAGGAAGGAGCCCAAGAAGCTGGAGATATTGGCCTCAGTGGTAGTTCTAGTGGTTATTGGAGCACTCTGGTCTTTGACCTCCAAAACTGGAGGAGTGACTCCAACAGATCCCAGAAAAAACCTCGGAGAACGAGTATGGACCTTGTTACTCATTAGAGCTGGAATGGACAATTAGGTAGTTGCAAGTTACAAGTCAACTGAGAAAACGCTGAGGTTGCTATAAAAACCATACTGGAGTTGTGCGAATGCAACAAGCTCAAAAAACAGATTTGTAACTTAGATATTTATAAAGAATCTCATCTATGATGAGGCGTCCTGCAAGTTGAATGACCCACATTTTACTTATACATGTTCTTCAATGCCTGCGTTCGCCCCCTACTGACCTACAGCAGAATCACAGGCATTCAGACAAAATCCTCATCTAATGTTCTCATAACATTTAATTATGTGTTGTTATAGATATTTCGGACATGTAACTAATCTATTATCAATCAAAACATAATAGATTAAACACTGTCAACATTATAAAAAGGAAAACCTAAGAATATAGTGTTGTGCTTCTAACATCAGTACTAACCTGTAATAACTATAAATTTCTTCAAGATTATGAAATGTAAAAATGTGGTAAAATGGTAAATGGACTGAACTTATATAACTTATGAAGCGGTTTACATTTACAATCACTCACCCATTCACACACTGATGGTAAAGGAGGAAAATAAACTGAACATTATTTACTTGTTGCAATTTGCAACCACAAGATAATGCCTCCTATACAGGAGGCAGAGAGCAGAGAGAAAGGCATTTTGAGGCAGGGATGCACCGTCAGCTGTCAGTCACAACGTCCTGCGTGCGGCCACTGCATTACAAAATAAACAAACAGTGCAAGAATATAGATTTGATTTATTCATAATATAATGGAAACTATGTCAAAGAAATGAACTGGGAAATGGATGAGATGAAAAATGATTTCAATGAAATTTTTTTTACAAACTTTCCTGAAGGGGAACAATGTGAAGCAACAACGACTGTAAAAGTTATTCACGCAAGAAACTCACAGCTCAGAAAGCTGCCTTTCAGTCTATGGACAGGCAGATCAGCAGTGTTTAGTTGGATCTACAGGTCAGCTGTTCTACTCCTTCCAGGTGAAGACTTGTGTGGACCTGACTATGATATTGAGTTATTTAGTGCTATTTTTTCATTATGATAAAAAAAGTTAGATTTTAAAGAATGTTTTTAACAAAGCCTTTTTTCTGATAAACCTTAAAAACTTTTAAATAAAAAAAATAAATGTCAATTTTTTTCTTAAAAATCTAAAAATAATAATAATAATAAAATACCGGCAAAGCAAAGAATAATCAATGCAATGTGAGATCTATAATAAAATAAAAGTTATGACACAATGATGACATTGTACCTCATAAGCATAGTTTTTTTTTTCACATTTAACAATTTTCAGCTACGAAATGGTCTGTTAATTATGGGGTGGGCTGCTAAATATTACAGTTTAACTTAACTAACTTTACACAAGTGTCAGACTGGAATTTCTTTCTTTGGTAACTGAAAATATTAACAAAAACAATAAATCACAAGCTAGCATTATCATGAGAATTAGCCCAGTTAGCATGAGCCATTGCCTGAAAATTAAGCGTAAGTTGGATGACTTTAGCAATGTAGCAACCATTTGACCGACAGTCAGGGGCAGTTCTAGGGGCGGGGCATTGGCCCTAGCTGAAATTTGATTGGCCCCCTATAGAGCCCCTGTCCTGTCAGTCATCTGATCTGTCCTTTGCCCAAGAGTGATGATGGCGGGTGCAGTTCCATGTTCAAATACTAGAGGCGATAATGAGTCAAATAGGAAAGTCCGGCATGAATCAAGCTCACAAATATCATCTTCTCTTCTTAAGATTTAAACAATTCTGCAGGAAAAGTCTTTCCACTAAAAAACAATGGCTGGATTTTCTTACAAGCTGTGTGTTTGAGAGTATTTCATCAATGTATGATTCGATTCAATGAAAATGTTTATTGATATTGATATTATATTTTGCAACACAGTTGCAAAATACAATATCAATAAAATACCATTTTTTCTCTTCAATATAAACAACAGGTTTTAAGGACAAACTTTTAAATTAAACTGTTCAATCTTGAAAGAAAACTGTCACAAGTATAAAAAGTTTTAAAGTATAATGGAATTGCAGGTGACAGTGTTGTTGGATGCATTCATTTTAAAGTAATTAATAATTATTTTTGATAAATGAGAAGTGATGGGAATAAGGTTGCAGGAGATGAGGTGGGCTAATATAAAACTTCTGCCCACTCCTTTTGAGTGTATAAAAAAATTGTGAAGAGGCGTTCTGAACTGTAATTTCATTGTGCTCTGTACAATGACAATAAAGGTTTATCTTATCTTATCTTATCTTATCTTATCTTATCTTATCTTATCTTAAAACTGTCTATTTGTAATGTTTCTGTTACCTTCTGTTGTTATGTTCAATAAAAATATTTAATACATATAACTTATCAAAACTACTAAATTTCATCACTGTAGATTTCATTAAGATGTTTTATTAACATTTAAAAATAATAATACTGGTAACAAAACTAAATGCTTTTGTTAGAACGTCGTCTTTAACACATTTAAACAGCCGGTGGAGAACACTTTCAGTCAGATGTTTACATACCGTAGTTTGGTTCGAGCGCCTATGAGCCGCTCGTCAAACCCCGCTTCGTTTTCGCTACCACTGGTAACGTTAGAGATTCCTTAGTTTGTTTTGTTTTGATCCAGACAACTTGTTATCAAAAGCTAATGTTAGCACTGAATGTCAACTGGATGTAAATATACGGCAAGCCAGGAGTGACAAAATATAGAAATGCGCCTCAGACGCACGTATAAGACGCCGTGGGGAAGAATCGATCTCATGTCCTGTGAATTGATTTTCCCTCATTTAAATTAAATCGATCCAAGATCGATAAAATTGATTTTTTTTTTCTTTTACCCACTTGGCTCCTCTAAGAATAATGTGGCCCCTTTATGGCCCCTTATTCAGAAAAATCCTAAATCCGCCACTGCAGATACTTTGAATATAACGTGTCTTTTGACTTCAAAATTGGTGTTGCTGAGAATGATGCTGATAAATTACTATGGCCGCAATAAAGTTATTCTCCGCAGTGTGCAACTAAGATAAGATAAGATAAGATAAGATAAGATAAGATAAGATAAGATAAGATAAGATAAGATAAGATAAGATAAGATAATTTATTAGTCTCCCGTGGGAGAAATTTGTCCTGAAAGCAGGGGCAAGCACAACAACAAAACAATAACAATTGCAATAAAACTCATCAAAATAACAGTAACAATGAATAATACATTAAAAAAAATACAAAATACATAAAAGCACAAGTGTCAGGTCAGATCATCTCAGCAGTACATCCCCAATACATCCTCAACATGCTACTCTTGGTCATCGTCTGGACCTCCTATCACTCTGTCCAGTCCCTGCTCCTCTGCCATTTATCAGATTAACAGAGACAGGTACAAATGAAGGTTTAAAACGGTTGTATTTTCAAAACTACATAATATTAAAACTTTTCGCTCGGGGCTACTTAAATTTATCAGAAGCTAACATTAGGCTTCAGGCTGCTGAGTAATGAGTAAACTCTTAAGCAGTGGTTCCCAAAGTTGGGGTCGGGACCCAAAGTGGGGTCCTGAAACATCAAGGTGGGGTCTTGAAAAGATTTTCTAAATTAATTACATTTTTGCCTTAGTTGCCTAAAATGTATAAATGTAGAATAATAAATATTGTTACTATGCCCATGTTTAGATGACCTGATTCAAATGTTTATCATCCAAAAATAGTTGTGGGTACAGGTCTCTGCTACTGTTATTTTGTGGGTCAAAAGCTGAAAAGTTTGTGAACCACTGCACTTCAGAAATCAATTTAAAGGGTAATAAAATAATTGGTGATGTAATATTTTTCCCTATAATTATTACAAAAACACAAAATAAGTATGAATAAGTATTTATATTTGTGTAGCCTTTGTTTTTAGGATTATTAACAAAGGTTGTGTACTCAGACCAGTAATATTTGGGGTCTCAAGATTTTGCCATGAATATTTTGTGGGTCAGATGATAAGTTTGGGAACCCCTGCTCTAAAGCAGTGACAGGTGAACAGCAGCGGAGCTTACAGGCTGACAGCAGAGGAGGAGGAGGAGGAGGAGAAGGAGGAGGAGGAACCAGCCTGCCCTCTCACGACTCTGCACCGACCACCTCCTCAACACGGATCCCGACTGGACGCAGTTATTCTCCTGGTTCAACCCGCGGAGGAGCAGATAACCTGTTCACAGCAGCGGAGGAACTCCTCCTGGTTTGTTGTGTGGAGAACCGAGCCGCGGCAGCGCTGATATAAACACTTCTGCATGGATGTAGCGCAGTGATGGACTCGCGCTGTTTTTGGATCTTAAGTCTGTTTTTTTATGGAAGGCGCTACTTGTGCACATAAATCCTGCCACTGACTTTGTTTTAGCTGCTTAAAGGTTTTTTTTTTTTTTTATCTTCGTGGGCTTGGTGAATGATGGCGACAGAGCAGGTCAAAGAGTGGTCCTCCTGTACCTGCTCCGAGGGATGATGAAGATGATGATGGCGGTCTATCTCCCTGGTGAATGAACACTCTCACTTCCCCCTCTCTCCTCTGACTCCCTGCCTTCAAACGATGGATCTGAAAGTAGAGCCCGAGGAGCTGGACTCGAGCCAGCCTCCGCCCGTGGAAGTTTTCGCGCACGGCTCGACCCTCCACGGCATCGCGCACGTCTTCAACCACGAGCGCTGCTGCGCGCGGCGCCTCCTGTGGCTCCTGTTCTTCCTGACCTCGCTCACGTTCCTGCTGTACGTGTGCGTGGATCGCGTCCACTTTTACCTCGAGTACCCGCACGTCACCAAGCTGGACGAGGTCGCGACCCCGGTCATGACGTTCCCGGCGGTGACCTTCTGCAACCTGAACGCGTTCCGGTTCAGCCAGATCACGCGCAACGACCTGTACCACGCCGGGGAGCTGCTGGCCCTGCTCAAACACGGGTAAACACACACAAACACACACACAAACACACACAGAGGAGTGAGGAGAGGTCAACACCAGCTGTCCAAAACTTTCTCCTTCACTTCATCCTTTTTCATTGAGCGTAAAGTTACAGGAAAGTGCATTTTTTTCCATGCAACACCTACAGTTTTCTTTGCATTGTTTCCAAACAGGGACATTCTTCAAAGTACACACAATTAGCAGAAGACATCAGCTACAAATACTCAAATTTATATTAAAAAAAATCTGTATTTTGTACAATTAACACAGTGTCCTGATGCATCTCAGTAATCCAGGTAAAAAATCAAAAGGAAAAAAAATTGTATAGGTCTTCTGGACGGGTTCTTCTTTAATGAAACGTTTCGTCTCTCCTCCAAGAGACTTCTTCAGTCTGAGAGTTTCAGGCAAAATTCAGGCTTTTGAGTCCTGCCTCCAGGTGACTGATACTCACAGCACATGGCTTTGGTTCACAAATAATTAATACCTATTGTTAACAGGGAGTGGAGTGATACTGCCAATGGCAGCGCTGTAGGAGGGGGACAGCTGAAAACGGAGGCCCCCACCTCTGTTTAATGATGGACGGTCTTTCTTCACAAAAATGGCTTCTTTTACTCCTCTCTCAAACCAACGTTCCTCTCGATCAAGAATGAGAACATCCTCATCTCTGAAAGAGTGACCGCTGGCCTGKAAATGAGTGAAAACTGCAGAGTTCTGGCCATTAGATGTAGCTCGTCTGTGTTGGGACATTCTTTTGAACAGTGATTGCTTTGTTTCCCCGATGTATAACTGGTCGCAGTCCTCCTGGCACTTAACAGCATATACAGCATTGCTCTGTTTGTGCCGGGGCACCGGATCTTTGGGGTGAACCAGCCTTTGCCGTAATGTGTTTTGGGGTTTGAAAGCTACTGGGACATCATGTTTAGAAAATAAACGTCTCAGTTTCTCCGAAACACCTGCAACATACGGAATAACCACTGGTTTGGGTCTGGGTTTGGGGTCAGACCCAGGACTCAAAAGCCTGAATTTTGCCTGAAACTCTCAGACTGAAGAAGTCTCTTGGAAGAGAGACGAAACGTTTCATTAAAGAAGAACCCGTCTAGAGGACCTATACAATTTTTTTCCTTCTAATTAATACAGTGGTTCCCAACCTTTTTAGACTCCCCTGAGCCATCATGTCATACCCCCTTCAGCGTGATGATTCCCTAAAACTATATAATGTACAACATCGGATTTTTAAAAGAAAATTATTTATTTAACCCCCTAGAACGTTTCATTCTCAGGCATTTTATTTTTTCAACTCAAATTAAGCTTAAAGATAAAAACATTGCCTTGAAAGTGAATAATTAATAATCCAGGTAATGGCAGGTGCAGAAAACAGCAGCGTTCAAAATGCATTGTTTTGTCCAAAATATGTCAGAAACTCACCCAAATGAGCAAATTATGTCAAATTCCACGTTTTGGATTCCGTTTTGTGTCAATTCCATGTTTCTGTGTGCAGTTACCGCATTTCGGAAATCATAGGGCCCTACAAATCTCAGTCCTATTTTTATTTATTTTTTATTTTTATACACCTGGGAAATTTTCCCACATACCCCCTGTAATATGCTTGCGTACCCCAAGGGGTACACACGTACCCCTGGTTGGGAATCACTGAATTAACAGAGGCATTTACTCGGGTCAATGCCACCCTTAAAAAATTGGTGGCCCCCTACTGGCCTCCTCTTGGTTAGAGAGTTTATTTATTTATTTATTTTTCTTGGGGTCCCTTGTTTTCTAGCCTGACCCTTGCCTTCCTACGCAGCTCCGCTCAATTCTAGTTTCCCTTCACTGCTCCCTCTGGGACTTCTCCCATTGAGATGGATTTCGATGGTAGATTTTTAGCCGGGCCAATCAGAGAACAGAATATCAATTTTCTGTGCAGTGTCTGCTTGTAGTTTATTTTACCTGGGCCAATCAACAAACAGAAGGAGGAGTTTTGAACGACGTTGATTTTCTGCGCAGTGTCTGCTAGTTATTTTAGCATACGGCAGTGGAGGAAGTGAATGAAGCCAGTCTGTGTTGATAAGGCTTCAAATTAAATTAAATTTGTCTGACAAAGCAGCAGCTCTCATTTACAGTCGTCTCGTTCGGCTCGGTACTTTTCTCCTCTCAGTAGGGTTGTTTACAGCACACGCAACTTCCGGTTAGCTTCTTAGCTTAGCCTCCTTCACAGCAACAACAAACACATGCTTCAGCAGAGGCCACGCCTCCTGCAAGAAATCGATTCTCTATTCAGCAAGTCCAGACCCTAGTACGAAGCAAAGTGAAGGACAGGGTCTGGTTTTAACCAGGCTACACTTTTTCTTGAAATAAATTTTATATTTCCCTTTAGATGATTAGTAGAACCTCAAACATAAAAACAGCAATTGTTTTTGAGAAATTAAGAGTTAAAAATAAAAATACAAATTAAAATTAGTCTCCGTGAAAAAGTCAACCCCCCTTCATTTAAAAATTGTTGATACCACCTCAAATCAAACAGACAATGTTCATGTGATTTCTGATTCCATGGCAGGGTTTTTAAAGATGGACAGTTATGTTGAGAAATGAGAGAGTTGTAACTGTTTTGTCCAATCACATGACTCTCAGCTACTGCTACATCAAAATCTTTTCTCAGTATCTGTTGAAGCTGGTTTTGTGTTGATTAAAGTTGATTGGTGGCCATCCTGAATTGGACTGACTCCCAACAGGTAATCAGTTGTAGTTCCTAGTGCTGCTTCCTGAAAGGTTTCATTAAAATTCATCCAGTGGTTTTATAGTTTGGTAACAGACATCGCTGATGCCAAATAGTTTTAACACAGCCTGATGTTATGAGTCACTTGGATACTTCACCTGTACTGCCATCACCTCACATATACAGTATATTTCATGAGTTATTCCCATAATGCGTAATGTGTATGCTGTACGCATTATTATACAAATGTGGTCTGATGTCTGCATATATAGTGGGTTGATGTATACAGTATGTGTGTTTATGTGTATTGTTATAAAGTTTATGTTTATAGTGTCTTTTTTATTCTGTTTCACTTTATTTTCAACATCTCCTGTACCGAGCTGCAGTAATGTGCAAATTTCTCCATGGTGGGAACGAGCATCGTATCAAACCATATCGTATCGTATCACATCGCATCGCATCGTATCTTATCGCATCGTATCGCATCGCATCGCATCGTATCGTATCGTATCGTATCGTATCGTATCGTATCGCATCGTATCGTATCGTATCGTATTGCATCGCATCGTATCGCATCGCATCGTATCGCATCGCATCGTATCGTATCGTATCGCATCGCATCGCATCGCATCGCATCATATCGCATCGCATCGTATCGTGCCGTACCGTACCTGTTAGAACTCAGCGTATGCGTTGAGGACCAGTCAGTGTAAGGTTTCACCTACATCACAGACTACATCTTTATTTCTAAGACCAAAGTGTGGAAAATCCCTGTGTTGTGTATCTGTCTGTCTGTACAGGTGATGCTTTTACAGACACCTGGTGGACAAGTTTCACCACAGTTTGGTGACATCGTGATACATTTCTGTCCCTAAAGCAGATGATTGTGTGAGGCTGGCGTGCCAAAATTGTAACAATTTTGATGTGTTTTGCTACTTAGGTGAAAAATTCTGCTGTGGAACTGTGGAAAAATCTTCTAGTGTTAGAAATTGTAAACAAAATAGAATAAATAGAACCACCAGATTTTAATTTAGTTTGAATTTGTATAAGTAGTTTTTTTTTAATGAAACCAGACCAGCAACTGGAAGCAATTTGTTCTTTTGATTTCATTTTTACCGGTAATCATAATGACCTTCATAGGTTTTTTTTCCAAATTTTACCCACGAATTTCTAACTACATCTTTTCTACAAATTGGTCATTTTTCCTTTAGTAAAGATGTAAGGTCTTAATCCGCTCACTCATCCAACCACCTCCAGTTGTTTCTACCTTGTTGACTGGTTCGGTGCTCGGAGAGCGAGCTTGTCAGGCCAGAATTAAGCGAGGCATTATAATCAGAAGACTCCAGCTGTTCTGTTGTTGCAGCTGAATACTCTTGGATACTGGACTGCGAGTGTGCGTGCATGCGTGTGTGTGTGTGCACAAGAGGAAAAGATGAAAGATGTGGAGAGCTTGCACTCTTTGACTTCAAGTGTAATGGCAAACTCAGCCTTTTGGTCACTTACTTTAATCCCTGAAATTTCAGCAAAAGCTGTGGAGAAATTCTTCTCCTGCACAGTTAAACCCACTTGTGTTGGAGCTCTGTTGGAGATTTTTATAACAGAAGTGTAAAATATAATGTGTGCGTGTGTGTGTGTGTGTGTGTGTGTGTGTGTGTGTGTGTGTGTGACAGAGAGAGAGAGACAGAAGGATGAGGATAAAATCCAAGAAGCAGAGGAGGAAAAAAGGATCTTGCAGAGAAACAAGAGTCCGTCTAATCTTAGCTTTTTGATTGTTTGCCCTTTTGGTGCCATAATATTTCTCCAAATGTCAACAGATGCAGAAATAATGAAGCAATTAGTTGGATATTTTTTTAGTTTTTCTTTGGCTCTCAGCAGTATATCAGGGGAGGAAAGTTTCTGATGTGTTTGGATCTGACTGATCAAATTACGGTCAGAGGTTTACATCCACTCATCGTGGGAATGAATGTTGCAGGAATTTTGGGCTTTTAAATAATTTAAACAAATCGTTCTTCATCCAAAGTGGAACAATTACACAACATACGAGTTAAATAATTTTTAGAAACAGAAAATGTGGATATTCTGTAATCCACCCATCAAAATGATGAGAACAGAAACACCCAACTAACATTTGGATAAATGTCCCTCAGGACATTGCACCTTGACCACAGGCTTTTTATAGCCACCAACAAGCTTCGGGCATAATTCTGGCTGGATGTTTCACCACTCTTCTTGGCAGAATTGGTAGTATTTATTTGAAATGGTTGATTTTCTGGAACAACCTTGACTCAT